CAGGGGCAGCAGGAGCAGGTTCCCTGTCCCCAGAGCTCAGGGCACCCTGTGCCAGCTCGGGGCCGGGTGTTCACCCTCCTGCCAGCTGACGGTGTGTGTGTATCAGGGTTTGGAGGGGTTTTGGCCCAGTTTTCACCTCTCTTCCCCCGTGGCTTTGCGCTGCTTTGCTCGTGTTGAGTGTGGGATGCTGCTCCCTGCGGGGTGGCTCCAGAGGGGATGGTTCAGGTGTGTGGGAGCTCTCAGGTCCCTCGGGGGCTGGGAACACACCCAGGGTCCCATGGCTTGCCCTTTCCCAGGTGGAAGCTGTGGAAGGGCTGTCCCCCTTGGCTCCTGGGGGTGCCTGGGTGCTTCCCTGCCCCTTGGCCGTGGCTCTCCCAGTGTCCCCCTGTCSCGTGTCCTGCAGGGTGCCCGGGTGTGGATCCCTGACCACGCCGAGGTCTGGAGGGTGGCAGAAGTGACCAGAGGCTACAGGGAAGGCGACGCCGTTCTCCACGTGCGCCTGGAGGATGGTTCGGTGAGGCTGGAGCTGGGCAGGGTCCCTCCCGTGCTGCCCACGTGGGATGGGGTTCACACTGCACCCCAAACCAGCCCAGGCTCCTCAGCAGGCCTGGGGGACTCACTCATGGCCTGGATGTCCCACCTGGTGGCTGAGACATGCCCTGAGCCCACAGCCTGCCCGGCCAGGGCTGTCCCCTGTCCCCCTGGCCGGGGCTGTCCCGTGTCCCCCGGCTGGCTGCAGAGCTGATCCTCCCTCCTGCTCCCCCCTGGCTGCCCCAAGCGCCTCCAGCTGGGCTGATGCTGGCCCGGGTGGGTTTCTCGCTGACCACCAGCCCAAGTGTGGCCAGCAGACAGAATCCCTGCAGCCGAGCTGCTCCCCCAGCCCTCTTCTGCTTTTGGGGGGTCTCTGCTCAGCCCCCTGCTCTGTCCCCATCCCCACAGGTGCTGACCCACCCCATGGAGCCCCGGCCACCTCCCCTCTGCAATCCTGACTGCCTCTCGGGTGCCAATGACCTGGTGGCCCTGAGCCACCTGCACGAGCCGGCCGTGCTGCACTCGCTGCGCCGGCGCTTCCTGGAGGCCAACTCCATCTACACCTACTGCGGTGAGCCCCCAGCCCCTGCCCGCCCCTGCCCTGTGYCCCCAGCCCGCCCTGGCACGGCTCTGCTCCCCCAGGCATTGTCCTGATCGCCATCAACCCCTACGAGGCGCTGCCCATCTACGGGGACGAGGTGATCCGCGCCTACAGCGGCCGCCAGCTCGGGGACATGGACCCGCACATCTTCGCCGTGGCAGAGGAGGCCTTGGGGCAGATGGTGAGGTGAGAGAGGGGGCAGCCTGGGGTCCTTCTGGAAGGTGGCATCTCTGCAGAGCTGTGCTGATTTGTCCCTGCCTGGCAGGTTTGGCAGGAGCCAGTCCCTGGTCATCAGCGGCGAGTCGGGTGCGGGGAAGACGGCGTCGGCCAAGTACGCCATGAGATTCTTCACCACGGCTGGGGGCTGTCATGGTGATGCCAGCATGGAGGAGAAGGTGCTGGCCTCCAGCCCCCTCATGGAGGTGGGTGCCCCCCATCCCCAGCCCGTGGGTGGCCCTTCAGCTTCTCCTGGTGGGCTGGGTCGCTGCTGTGATGCTGTGTCTGTCCCCTCCCTGGAAAATGAGTGGCAGGGACTGAACCTGCAGTCTGGGGCCAACCCAAACCTCCTTCCTCCCTGTTTGCCAGGCCTTTGGGAATGCCAAGACAACCAGGAATGACAACAGCAGCCGCTTTGGGAAGTACTTGGAGATTGGATTTATCCAAGAGAACGTCACGGGRGCCACCATCAAAACCTACCTGCTGGAGAAGTCCCGGGTCACCTTCCAGGTGGGTCCCTGGGGTGGCACAGGGATGGGGCGGAGTGGGAGCCCCATCCCTTGGAGTGGGAGGGTGTTCTTCCTGAGCATCCCTGGAGAATGTGACCTCAGAGCTGCTGAGCTGAGCTGGGGAAGGGCAAAGTG